TTCTTTTGGATGTGGTGCTATGTAGTTGGTGACTTTGGGGACCCCCTGGTTCAGTATCTCAAATCTCCTGCATTTGGTGATGTAGCAGAACCCCTTACTTGAGCTATTTGGGTTCTATTGATGTAGTTGGGTCTTGAATATTAATTTCTTAATTGTGGATGAAGTCTTGTCACAGATTGGTAATGTGACTCACCCCCAGCTTCATTTTGCAAGCTGTTGTGAATGCGATAGTGGTTCCAGCTCTTGTGGAAAGGGTTAATTGAGGTATCACTGGTATGTGCTCACTGGGAGTTCCAAGAGTCCACCTGCTTGGGAGGAAGGGGTCTTGGGGTCTGAGGCTCTGGTACTCTAACTTTGGATGGTGTTGTGTGACTCTTGCTGGGGTAGCATCACTCTGTAACTCACTATGAGGTTCCCGGAGCCCAGGATGGTGGGGAACGGCTGTCCCATAGTCTTCGGTTGAGGTAGTGGGACTCTGGCCAAAGTGATTTCCCTCTCTGAATGACAAGAGGGTTTAGGATCCAGTAGCTGGGGTTGTAGGATTCTTGGAGCCTGTGACTGAAACAATGTGACCTTGTCTGGGGATGCGGGTCCTCAGTAACTCACCAAGGTGTCCAGAGGTAGGCAGCCAGGAGGGGATGTCATGGATCCCGTTGAGAGAGCCGTGTGCCCTTGGTTGGAGAGGGACACGCCCAGTGGCAGCTCACAGAGGGGCCCAGGAGCCATCTGCTGGGGCTGTGTGCTTGTGAGACCCACATGCTGGAGGTGCAGGATCGTGGTGTGCTGCCAACCTGGGGAAGGAAGAAGTCCCTGTTTCTGCTTCCGGAGCTGTGCATTCTTGGTTAGATATGTGCATCCCGTGTTGGCTTACAGATGTACCCAGGATCTCTCTGCTGGGGCAGTGGGCTCACAGGGCCTATGTGCTGGAGCAGTGCTACCATGGGGATTGGGTGCTGGTAGCCAGGGTTGTGCCTTGCGGTGGCTCAGAGAGGTACCTGGGAGCTGCCTTCCAGGGGCAGCAGGGTCAGAGGACCTGTGTGCTGGTTCTTTGCAACTGCAGTGACAAGAGGTCAGCAGTCGAGGACGGGCGAGACTGAGTTTCTGCAGCCAAGGTCTTCAGATCTTGGTTGGATACAAGTGGGCCCAGCGGCTGCTCACAGAGGCACCTTGGAGCTGCCTGCTGGGGCAGCGGGCTCAGGGGATCTGTGCTGAAACCACGTGGCCACTGGGTGTGTGGGCAGGCAGCTGGGAAGTGGAAAGTCTGAGTTTCTACTGCCGGGCCTGTGCATCCTTGTTTGGATACGTGTGCACCCAGCAGTGGCTCACAGAGGCACCAGAGAGCCCTTTTGCCAGGGCGGGGGACTCAGGGTGTCTGTGACCACGGTGCTCGTAGGTCAGCAGCCGGCGAGGGGGAAATTGCACTTACTGCTGCAGTATCTGTGCGCCCTTGGAGGTAGATGTCCTAGGGTCTGCAGGTCTGCGGATGAGGCAGCGGGCCTTCGTCTGGTGTGGCTGCAGAGTCACGGGCGGTGTCCAAGGTCAGTCTGGGAGGTGGTGCTGATGAGTTCCTAGAGGAGGCCCCTCTCCCCTTCAAGATGGTGTGTGTTCCCTGCTGGAGCCCCACAGCCCGGGGAGTGCCTGCAGCGGTGACAGGGGCTCCCTGTCCAGGAGAGCCTGGTCTGCCAGCCTCTGGTACTCCTGCCGGTCTTAACTGTCCCCCACTCATTCCCACACACTCTACACACACCACATACTCCCCTGTCACTTCCTCACTCACTCACACCCTCTCCCTCACCTCCATCCTGTCAGCCACCATCTTCCCAGCTCCTTCTAGTAGAGCATTTAACCAGTTTGTACTTCTAAAGAGATTTCTGGTCTTTACATAAAAAAAGACAAATTTTTAAAAATATATCGTTTTATTGATTTTTTTTTTGAAGAGAGAGGAAGGGATAGGGAGACAGAAATAGAAACATCAATGATGAGAGAGAATCACTGATTGACTGCCTCCTGCATGTGCCCTGGCCAGGAATTGAACCATGACCTCCTGGTTCATAGGTCAACACTCAACCACTGGTCAACACTGGCTGAGCAAAAAGACGAATTTTTTGTGAAGATAATTTAAACTTCATTAAATATTATAAAGAGAAAACCTCTTAACATGTGGTTTACTAAATAAAGATTAAGAAATTGTTTTAAAAGGCAGCATGTAGAATATCCTGGAAATAGAAGAAAGGAAATCCTTCAGTTTTTGATGGCGGACTGCATGCATTATCTTTGCTCTGCCTGCAGCCGCCTGGGTGCATTGCCTCCCCAGGGAGGTGGCTCTGCTCCCTGTAGCAGAAAGCAAGCGGTGTGAAGGGTCCACAGACCTGACCTCTCCCAGGTCTGTGCTGACTGGCCAGATGAGGCAGGCCCAGTCATTGCAGATCTCTGCCACAGTCCCCCGCCCCCTCTCCCCCACCATGTGGAAAGTGGAAAGATGGACTATATCAACGGTTTTAAACTTCTATTTTAAGCAGATCACTTTATTGAAAAGAAACATTATGCAGAAAATGGACATCTAATTCACTGAAAAGTGGGCTGTGGGGCCAAATCCCACCTCTGACCTATACTAGAAGTGTGACCTCGGGCCCCTCCTCGCCCTTTCGGGACTTCTGTGTCCTCGCTGTTATAGCATGGGCCTCACAGAACAGCTCTGAGGACTAGGTGCATAGTTTTCTAATGTGCACCAACCATCGTGCCTGACACACTCTTGTGCAACACACATTGGCTGGTGTCTGATGTTGAAGTGGCCCCTGCACCCACACATGCATACACACACACCCACACATGCATACACGCACACCCACACATGCATACACGCACACCCACACATGCATACACGCACACCCACACATGCATACACGCACACCCACACATGCATACACGCACACCCACACATGCATACACACACTCACACCTGCACATACACGTCCTTCTCCCACCAGTAACCTCTCACCCCCACAAAAACAACCGGAGTAATTATCTCTTTCTTGCAATTCTAACATTCTTTGAAGTTCTAATTTTTCCCTTCTTCCCATGAAACAGTAGGTATAGCATGTATAATTACAATATTCTGACCTCCTCCATAAGAAGATGCAGGCTGTTGCTGCATCTTTTTATTTTATTTTATTTTATTTACTTTTAAATATTATTTTATTTATTTTTTAAAACTTTATTGTTAAAAGTATTACATATGTTCCATGCTTTCCCCCATTAACCTCTTATAGCCTGCTCCTGCCCTGAAACCCAGGCCTTCACCACTCTATTGTCTGTGTCCATGGGTTATGCATATATGCATACAATTTTTTTGGTTGATCTCTTCCCACCCACTCACACACCCACCCCTTCCTTCCCTCTGAGAAGGAACAGACAATCTGTTCCATGCTTCTATGTCTGTGCCAGGCCTTTTATGCTCCTGGATTGGCTGATCCTTGCCCTGCGCAGTTCCGCCAATGCACTTGTTGGCTCAGTGCTTTATGTTTGCTCCCTTTAGATCTCAGACAAAAATAAAACAAGAAATTGATTTTCAAATTCAAGAGAAGCTATTAAAATTGTTTAACAAAAGCACTTCCTCTATGACTTTGCTAAACATTTCAGTGACATGGTCCAGCTTTTGTCTAGAGTTCAGAGTCATTTCTGTAAAGAAATTGCAAGTGTGAGAAAATACAATCATACTAATGTCAGAGACTTATAAACTGATTTTTTAAAATTGCAGAAAAGTCCTCAACAATTGCACTTAGGAGCTAAAATAAGCCCTTCAGAGACTTTTGCCCAGGAGATGAAATATTACAATGGTCACTTGTGCTGCATAGGGTAAATGGACTAATAAGAATTATAATATTATTTTTTTATTTTTCAAATACATTTTTTTTTCTAAAGAACTTACCATTTTGCCTGTGGAGTGTCCTGGTGAGATGAGGATAGGAAATAATGGACTGATGCCTAAAGACAATGAACAAACAGAGAATAAGGTTGTCCAGGGTGTCACCATCAGTATTGGAGCTGGGCTCTCCTCACCCCGGATCCCCCACCCTCCCCGAGGTGAAGGGTGTGGACTCTGTCATCAGAAACTCCGAGGGTCCTGATCTTGCCTCCACCTCCTGTGAAGCTGCCGGGCCCTGGGAAAGTCATGTAGCATCTTTTGGGGGCTCAGTTTGTCATCTCTAAAAGGTGAATAGCAGTATCAATAATCCCATGGAGATTTAAAGAAATAAATACTTTTATTAATTTCAGAGAAATATATTTTTATTGAAGGGAGAAGGAGAGACAGCAACATCAATGAGAAGAGAGAATCATTGATTAGCTGCCTCCTGCATGCCCCCAACTGGGGATCGAGCCCACAACCCGAGCATGTGTCGTGACCAGGAATTGAACCATGACCTCCTGGTTCATAGGCTGATGCTCAAGCACTGAGCCACCCTGGCCAGGCCCCATGGATTTTCTGTGAAGAATAATTGAGTTCGTTTCTACAAAATGTTTAGAATTTTGCCTCAAACTCTTCAAGGTTGAAAGGGGCAATTTATTAACTTCTTGATGTGGAGACTGTTGATCAGAACCAGCCATATGCTCCCTGGAGTCTGGGCAAAGTCGACCATACAAATGGGGGACAGTGGACAAGTGCAGATCTGGCCCCTTGGCTCAGGAAAATCACACTTTCATTTCCTCAAAAACAGTCCAGCGCACAGAGTGCCCTCGGAATGCCTCCTGTTAGCCCAGCCCAGCCACTCTCACCAAGTATGTGACTCTGTCGTATTGAATGTCCCTGTACCCAGAGGCATCCCCTTTGAAGGGATTGTTTCATTGGTTTGTTCCCCACGGAGGTAAAATGCTGTATAAAATTAACTTGTTCTGTCTGGGGTCACATCACAGCTGTCAAATCCAGAGACAGTTCAAAATCTCTAACCTTCTTAATAGAACTCTGCTTTCTAAGCTGTTGTTTTGTCCTCTTACATTTGTAGGGCCATGATACAACTGCAGCTGGAATGAACTGGGCCTTGTACCTTCTGGGTTGCTATCCAGAAGTCCAGAAAAAATTGGACAATGAATTGGATGAAGTGTTTGGTATGTATGGCCCCTTCACTACTTACACGGAAGGTCCAAGTCACTGAAGCAAATGACATTCTTGCTCATTAAGAATGTGCTGTCGGGTCTGTTCTAAAGACACTGTAATAAGCAGGAAGGCTGCCATATGGGATCCCTTCCAGGCTTAATGTCCTTTGCAAGACCTCATCCATTTGTTTATGTGTGTTTGCTGATTGCTTGGCACGTGACTGCACTGGCCTAGATGCAGGGGCTACACAGATAAATGTCACTGTCCTCAAGGACCTCGCACTTCATAGGTGAAGCAGACACTGTATAAAGTATCAAGTCATAGCCATGTGCTTGTGCGATATGAGCAAGGGCCTAGCGGAGAGCAGAGAGGGGTCAAGGAGACCTGTTTCATATAGGATTGCTGTGGGTTAAGCTGATGGGACACACATTTCTTTTGTACAACCAGTAACCTATAGGTAAGGGGTCCTAGGCTGATGCCAATAGGGATGTTGTGAGAATCCCGGGCTTGCTCTTTTTTCTTGCTGTCATTTTCATCATCATGGGCTTTGTTTTCTTGATTGTGGTTCTGGGTCTCATGTTTATCTTTAAGGCAAGAAGAAAGGGGAGGGGAGATGAAGGATAATATTAGTCTCCTTTGACTGCTGTCACCGATTCTGCAAACTCGGTGGCTGAGCACAATAGAAATTTGTCCTCTTACAGTTCTGGACACCAGAAGACCCAGATCAGTGTGTATGAGTTAAATCAATGTGTTGGCAGGGCTGCACTTTTTGGAAGCCTGAGGGGAGAATCCATTCCTTCTGGTGACTGCCAACATACCTTGGCTATGGCCACATCATTCACATCTCTGTCTTCATTTTCACATGACCTTCTCTTCTGTGGGTGTGTGTCAAATCTCCCTCTGCTCTCTCATATCATGATATTCATTATGGCATTCATGGCCCACATGAATAATCCAAAATCATCTCTCCATTATAAGATCCTTCATAAAATCTTCAAAAGCACCTTTTTCCCAAAAATAATATTTAAAGGTTCTAGGGATTAGGGCCTTATATATTTGTGGGTCATGATCAGCCTAAGACAAAGCAATCAACTTAATTGCTGTGCATTGTGCCATCAACTTAATCCTTTGTTTAATCAGATGTCATACGCCTTCCCATGGCTGGGAAGAGAAAGGTAAAGGTTGGGTTCGCCAACCAACAAACTGGTGTGTGATGGATTTTCCTAGTGCAAAGTGGGGAAGGAATAATAAAGGAAAAGAGGAGGAAGTGGGAGACATTCTGGAAAGAGAGGCTCCAGTTGCACAATGGCAGAGTGGAAAAGTTGGGAGATAACAGTAAACATTGAAGGACAGGTGGAACTCAGATCATTTGTTAGAACCCATTAAGAGGTGACGTTGGAAAAGGAATTTCATGTCCAGATGGTGTGAGGACTGGATTTTCATACCAAGAGGGAAGACTTTGTTTTGTAGAATGGAGACGATCTAAACTTCTGGGCTCTGTTTCTGTCGTCATTTCATTTTTCCTGTAACAAGTTAAATTTCTCTCAGATTGCCTCTGGTGGGTAAATTGGGTATTCTAGAAACCCAGGTTCTTTTGGAATGTGTTCCTATGTTTGTGTTTTTTACAATTTCTAGCCCAATGCAGGTGTCACAAATGCTTTTGGATCTCAAATAATTAGTGATGCCATTTTATACTAGAGTTTTTATTCTACTTCTTCTCATGCTTTTTGCTAACTGTGCATCACTTCTCTTCTATCCCCAGTATTAATTCTAAAATTTTTTTGAGCAACTGATCTTTGGATATTAAGATATAAGTATTCATTCCTCTTTTTTTTAACTGAGGTAAACTTCACATTTAGTTTCATTATAACAAGCAACTGGAACACTTTTAATGTTTAAAATTGAGCATTATCTTTTTTTCCCAATGAAACAAACAAACAGAAATTAAATAAACAGGAACAAAATTACAATAGAGAATGATAGTTCCAAATAAGATTCTGCAGGTCTGCTAGTCTCCCATTTGTGGCAGAGCCCAGGCCATTATTAGGAGAGAATTTTATTTTATTTTTAATATATTTTATTGATTTTTTAGAGAGGAAGAGAGAGGGATAGAGAATTAGAAACATCGATGAGAGAGAAACATCAATCAGCTGCCTCCTGCACACTCCCCACTGGGGATGTGCCCGCAACCAAGGTACATGCCCTTGACCGGAATCGAACCTGGGACCTGTGAGTCCGCAGGCCGACACTCTATCCACTGAGCCAAACTGGTAAGGGCAAGAATTTTATTTTAAAAGTATCATCTTAAACTGCAAGGAAGTCCATTAAACATCACAATTAAACATACCAAAGGGGAAGCCTTGTTGTCAAAATGCCCACTTAACTAACAAAACATCTTCTATATACCCCTTGACCGTGTGTAAACCTTTTTTTTATTTTTCCAGTTTAAAAAATGTTCCATAGAAGAGAAAGTAGACAGGTATATGTTGGTAAATGCTAACTGTCCATATTCACAGAGACACAGTGTAATCTGTGTGCTCGATGAAAGGAGGAAGAAAGCTGGAATTCTGTGCACCACTGCGCGGGCTGAGCCCCCCAGCCTCAAGCAGAGGAAAGTAAGCAGAAGGTTTTTCTTTCCCACGGAGCACAGGGGCATTGATTCTACATAGTGTTTGTTGAGTCAGGAAGGGATGAAAGTGAATTTGGGCTTGTGTGCATCCATATAAGCCTAACCCATGGACAACACTCACACCTGCACATACACGTCCTTCTCCCACCAGTAACCTCTCACCCCCACAAAAACAACCGGAGTAATTATCTCTTTCTTGCAATTCTAACATTCTTTGAAGTTCTAATTTTTCCCTTCTTCCCATGAAACAGTAGGTATAGCATGTATAATTACAATATTCTGACCTCCTCCATAAGAAGATGCAGGCTGTTGCTGCATCTTTTTATTTTATTTTATTTTATTTACTTTTAAATATTATTTTAAAACACATATGTAATACCCTAATGAATAAAGAAATAAATAAATAAAATCAATGGAAAAAAATAAAAATACTTTTAAACGTTAAAAAAAGTGAATTTGGAAGAGAAAGCCTTAGAGATTCTTTTCTCACTGTATTCAGCTCAAGGTATTTCCCCCAAATAAGTTGAGAACCAGGATGTAAGGGAGAGAAAAGACTTCAAGGGTAGAACGACTGAGCTGAAGAGTAAAACAAAACAAAACAAACCCAGACTGTAACTTGCTCCCAGTGACTGGAGGAAACTTTTAAAAAGAAGGTTGGAATCCATCTGTGTTCCTTAGTCATCTTCTTCATCCTCATCAGCTTCTTCGTTGGTAGCTTTCAATCCTCTCTGTCTCCTCCTCCATTATCATCTTCTTCTCTTCTCCTTGCCCATCTTCATCTTCCATATCAGGAAGCAAGTAGTAATGAATTGGATTTTGGCAAATACCACTTTCAATGATAATGAATTGGTTTGGCAAATACCACTTTCAATGATCTCTCCCAACTTATCTGCACCTGCATCAGAATGGCCATAAGCCAGAATTTTGTGACTCAGCCTCTTCCTGCTGGTGTTATCCTGCATAGAATATGAACATTTCATATT